TTCTTGACTAAAGAAGAGACAAACGAAGGAAGCTTCCTGTTTACACAAATTTGGAGACTTAAAGCACCTCCAAGGACAACATTTTTCACTTGGGAAGCAACGCATGGGAGCATTTTGACTATTGATAAGTTAATGAGAAGAGAGAAGATTATGGTGAATTGCTATTGTTTATGTAAGTGAGCAGAGGAAACATGTGATCACATCTTTCTTCAATGCCCCATTGCCCAGAGTTTATGGTCTATAATTTTTGGGATTTTGGGTAAAAGTAGGTCATGGCAGGCGCATTCAAGGAAGAACTATGGGCATGAAGGTTATAGTGAGACGGAAAAAGTATTTGGGACTTATTCCACTACTATTTTTTGGATGGTCTAGAAGTAACGGAATATGAGTTTTTGAGGAAATGAAGGGCAATATTGATAAAATTAGACAGAGATGATTCCAGTTCCTTGAAGTGTTGATAATGAAAAAAAATCTGTACTCCATAAAGAACCTAGGTGAACTAATTGATATACTAACCGATATGTAAATTCTTTTTATACATGGTTTTTGTATTCTCTTGGTGCATGTAATTAATACACTTTATATTTTTTATTTTAAAAAAAGAAAGTAAAAAAGAAAAATAATCATTAACAATTAGAAAATTTACTCCTATATTCAGCTTGCAATTTTTTTTATATAATGAACAACTTATAAGCTACATTTTATCAAGCACATAAATAAATTAACACAACTTACAAACTCGTACTTCTAAATACTGTAAGATTTTTTTTTTTAAATATCATCTAATAGACTGTTAAAGAACGCAAAAAGCTCTATAACCAATATGTTCCTAAAAAATAAATGAACTCGAACATACTCTTAATATTTTCTAGATAAGTTTGATATTTTTTCTCATCTACAAAGTATTACAGACACATTTTTATTTTGATAATATTTCTTAATATGGTAATTCTTCGCCTTATTTAGGATTATCCACTCCCCATCCCCAATCCAACATTATGAAACCCATCCTTGAGTTTTGATGGCACATTAGAAATTTAAATGCTTCTTCATGTACTAGAGAAATCTTGAACTACAAAATATGCTTTGCTTGACAAACTAACAAGGTCCTAAACATGGATCTCAAAGAAACAAGGAAGTAAGCATGACAAATTCAACAAGAGGAGAACTGGCATATTTTGGTTACCAGTCGTTACACTCCAAAAAGAACGACATACTCTGGCTTGTTATGCCATCTACCCTCGCATCTCCAATATCACCTTTACTCAAAACTTCCAACTTTAGATCTTCCAAGGAATTTAGTTCTCTACCACTTAGTTGCCTAATAGGAGATTCAAGGTTTCTGTTAACTTTTGAACCATCCGATTTCAACCATCTTTTAAAGCCAGCTAAGCTTATCAATTAGGCTCCTCATTGCCACTCTATCATCCATCTTCGTTCTATCTAGAGGTGGTCATGTTCTGGAGTTCTGTTTTAGAAGCAAAAGAATTGTGATTGTCTGACATGGAACATTTGTCCCCTATATTTTAGGCCCTTCCAAATAATACAAGACATGGCTATATGCACCTACAGATGCTCAAACTTTTCCATTTTGTTCAACTAAATACCCGGACTTTTATTTTAAACAAATATATGTTCAATGTTTCTCATTAAGTTCAATTAGATGCTCAACCTTTTAACTTGAGAAATTAGGTGCCAAACATTTCTTGTTGTATTAATTGGGTTTCTATGATTTATGATTATAATTGATTGTTTTTTTTTTTGCTAGGTAGCGGTATTTTTATTTACAAAATTATTAGTACAAAAGGGGCAAAAGATTAATACCAAAAAGAGTTATCTTAAAATTAAAAAAAATTATAGTCGTTGTCCTCATTCTATTCATCACTCTGCCTTCAACCTTAAAAGGACATAGAGCAATGAAGGCAATGAGAACAACATGCCAAGTGGTCCAAAGATTTATTTAACATAATCATAAATATAAAGCACTCAACTAAAAAATTTTATATTATACTTACTTAAATATAATCATAAATATAAAGCACTCAACTAAGCAAAATAAGATCGACACCTAATGCTCAAAATAAAAGGTCAGCCATCTAACGGAAGAAGATGAGAAAGATCCTATTTTTTTTAAAATAAAAATGAGAAAGATTCTTGTTTATTGAAAATAAAAGTTTGGGCATTTAATTGAAGAAAATAGAAAATTTTAGGCACCTTTATGTGCATTGTATCGTATGGAACCTCTGTTCCCTCTATTTTCAGCATTCCAAATTAATACTAGATATCTAATCAACAATAGTGATCATACAATAAATATCCCTTTTCTCAGAATGTAAATCATACAATAAATATCCTTAAAGAGAACCTCAAGCTCCAAAAGTGTTTTGCCAGTTTAATGTGACAAAACTTGCAACTTTCTAGAATTGCAAATTATTCAAATTCCTTCCACGTTCATATTGATTAAAAACTTTAAATAAATTATCTCAGTTCAGCATCTATAACAAAGAATACAGTTAAGAACAACATGCTATAAAATAAAATTTGAAAATGAAAGGGGGGGGGGAGGAAGGAGGTAGGGTCAATACTGCTCAGATCAGCTTCCGAGACATCTCAGGTTGGCTAGCAGTTGCCCTGAATATGGTGTAGCTTGACCTACAGACTGGTGCTACAACACCTACACAGTGGCCCCACATTACTATAACCTGTCACTAGAGCACGATAGGTTTCTGGTGGAAGCCCTGAAAGGTAGCTTTAGAAGTGGACATTCTAGATCAATGATGGAATCATGACAATAAGGTCGATAGTATGAATATCTGAAGAGGCATCAATGGTCATGACATTTGGACAAAGGTGAGACAGTTTTTAATAGATTGAGCAACCAGTACTGAAGTCTGTATGATGGCTAGTAGCTTCTAAATGCAGCAATTTGGGTGGTCTGAATTTTCGGCGAAGACATTCTTTCTATTTTTCCTTCTTGAAATTTGAACCAAAACTTTCAGATGCTAAGATTTTGTTTCTAGATTGGGGATATCAACAGTGGCAGGATGAATTAAGTTTAGGTTTTAGTACCAAATACTGCAGGACCTGGGAGAGTTCGAGTAAAACTAATAGAAAATTAAACATGACAGGAAGACAATAATCTCAAAACTCAAAGTTCAACTCAAAATTCTTAACTCTATTCAGTACCCTTCATGATCAAGCATACAATCAGCAAGAAATAAAATACCTGACAAACTTCAAACTAAGCTACAATATAAACTAAACAAAATTTAACACCCTAAACTTCTTATACTTTCTAAAAGCTAGATATCCTAATAATACATCAAATATCATTGTCATTTTGGAATCGAATCTTCCAGTTATGCATTAGAACCACATAATAAATACGGTATCTTGGTTAACCTTGAGATATATACAGTTATATATATATATCCTAAGCCTAAAATATTTTACGATAATCCAACTAATAGATATCAAAGCAACAGAAAACATAAAAGAAGAAACAGGTGGATTAAAAAATAAATGAACCACATATACATTAACAACTGGGAATTTGCAGACAGCATACCTCAGAACGAAGATATGGAACAGATACAGTTGTGAACACAAACCCTGCAATAATATAATATGAAGGTGGTCTGCCCTTGCTATGTGCAGGAATAAGCCTTCTATGAGAAGCTAGTTTGATGCTGAAATCAAGAGTTTCAGAATCTCGGAGAACCTTTATCACTGCCTCATCCCCAGTGTATTTCTGGGACACAAGGTAACTAAAACTTATTCGTTCCCCATGTCGGAAAGGTACTGAATGATCAAGATCAGAACTACCATGTCAGAAACGCTCAGCAAGGATTTACTACAATGGCTAAGAAACAAAGATTTGGACTCATTCACATTAATATTTTGCATATTGAATGATAGTCAAGCAAGTGCTGTATGTTTGATCTTCCTACCATGCATTTCTCAAGGTACTCCAATAAAATTTCAATAGGACATGACTTGTCTTTTTTAGATACCTCTTATCACACAATTTAGAATTCAAGCTTACAAAGGAACAACTTAATTTCAGAAGTTACTCATTTAATTTAATCCTGCTCTTTTTCCAGTAACTCAGATAAAGGCCACAAACAAGAGTAGCTCCCGGATAAAAAGTTTCCTTAATATTTGCAACTGAAATTACATTCTAAATTGTCAGATACGGAGATATATAAATACATACAGAACATGCACGATATGACGAGTTTTCTTCAGTA